CCCCTCCCTCCCTACCCCCAGGCCTGGGCGGTGCCAGTGGGCATGTGCAGGACCCCCTGTCTCAATACTACCTGGTTACCTGCCTGCCCCCACCAGGATACTCCATCCCTCCCATGTGCCACCAGAAACAAACAGGCAGGTTCTGTGGACTCAGCATTTTTTCGCAACCTGCAAAATCTCTCCCCCCCCCCTCCCCCCCCAGTATAATAACGACAGGCTGTAAGTTGGAAAAATAAAGCAATCGGTATTCACCATTGTGCTGCTCTGGACCGGCATGGTGGGGAAATGTGGGGAATCCACCTTGAAAAACAAACGGTGAGTAAGGAAGGACCTCAGGGAAACTTCTACTGTTCATATTAGTTTTAGTAATACTTGGCTTTTTTTGATTAGGAGAGTCACCAAGTTTTTTCTGTATCAGAAATAAAATTGGAAGTATATTCTCTCTTTTTTTGCAAAGAAAAACTTACAGCAGACCTTTTATTTACAGTGTAAATATATCTGGCAATCTAATCATTCAGGATACATTTTCACATTCTGGAGGGAATGAAACAAAGCTTATTTTAGGACTAGATTCATTAAATGGACAGATGTGTTTTTCCAGCTGTTGAACTTGGTTCTGGACGAGAACGGATCAGATAATGAGGAAAGTACTGGGGCTGCAGGCCTTTGACGAGCCAGCTGCAGCCGGCCCAGGTTTTCGGGGGGAATCGGAACTCCATGCCCATGCAGTCCTGGGAAAATAGGGGCTCGCCCTGTACCCCTGGTCATTTGATAAACTCTGAAGCGTCCCACAAGGCTTGCTGGGAGAATCCCCACAACTCCTTGGTTGTGCATGCTTTCCTGGGACTTGTGTGTGTGTGTGTGTGTGTGTGTGTGTGTGTATGTATGTATTTATCAGTGTTGGGTACTTGAGATCCAGAAGCTACAAATCCAGACCAAGATTTTGTTTCTATCAACCAGTTGAGTATAAAAAGTCACAGTCACAGAGTAATGAACTGGTTGGTAGAAACAAAATCTTAGTCTGGATTTGTAACTTCTGGACCTGAAATGTCCAACACTGGCATGTGTGTGTTTATATATATATGTGTGTGTGTGTGTGTGTTGTAAAAAGGTGACATGGTTCTACACTGGATAAGTATCAGTCAGTTGATGAGGTAGGAATGTTCTCTGGTCAAAACTTGTTGATTGCTTGATGCACAGAAGACTGAAAACTGCAATTTCACTGGCTGTAACAAGGGCCTTTTCAGTTCATGGGCCAGCTGAAGGAAGCTAGGAATGCTGGGTAGAAATAAGGGCTTTTAGGGCCATTGCAGCTTTCATAATGAGAGTTTTAAGAAGAGCCCTGCTTATGAATTTTCAAGGACTTGGGACCTTGAAAGCTGGGACTGGTGTTGGTGGGTTTAATGTTTGTGTCAAGGGTTTTATAGGTAAACTGAGCTTCTCTTTCTGTGTGTCACACAGAGGGCAAAGAGGTAATGTAGCACGTGGATTCACAGACAGCAGGTCCATTTACACTTAAGAAGCTAAGGACAGTCATTTGTTATAGGATTCCTTCAACCTTTCTGGTTTCCATCTCAAAAATCTCTGAAGAGATGGAAGTTATTTTTCACACTTCGTGCATACAGAGCAGAAACGTCCCCTTGGGCTTATTATAATCCAGTTTGGCGAAACGCTCTTGGCTCTGGTGTTATTGAGCAAAATATTAAAAATCGTCTATCGCAAATCATTCTCACATGGTATCATATTCATCTCTGTTCTGCAATCTATAAGTTGCCGTGATGATATTTTTTTGTTTTCCTGTGGTGATTTTATAAGCAGTGTTAATTTTATTGATTTATATTATGTTCTTGGCAGCCTTGCCAAGTATTTATATAAATTTAATTCAATTGTGAGGGTAGCAAGTTTAACCCTGGTTTTTCCATACTCGCAGTTCTTTCGTAGGAATTTTTACTGAAGCACACTGTCGTTCCCACGTCTCCAGGGCTGGGGGTTTGGGACCCTTGCCTGGTTCTGTGTGTGTGCAAATGTCCCCCACAAGGTAATAAAAACCTGTTATTTTGACATCGTGGGGACCATTTTTCAAGTCCCCACAAATATCTGAATGCAATGAAAAAACTAAAAATGCTAAAAGTCTCGTATTTTGTTTGATTGCTTATGGTTAAGGTTAGTGCTGGGTAGGAGTTAAGGTCATTATGTTGGGATTAGAGTTTTCCAAACAGAAATGAATGGAGAGTCCCCACAAAGATATAATTACAAACCTGTGTGTGTGTGTATGTGTGTGTGTGCATGTGCCTGTGTGTGTGTGCGTGCATCGTTTTCAGGGTCCAGGGTTTCCCCCCTGCAGTTTGACCTGTGTTTCCTGGGATAGGCTCCAGCCTTGCTGTGACTCCTGCTTCGGATAAGCAGTTATGGAAAATGGATGGATTTCCCTGAAGTATTTCCGGTTAAGCTTTCGTGCTCCTGGTGGAACTTGAACCCCTGACCTTTTGTCCATGTCTGACTCCTCAACCGCTATCCCCTTAACCTAACCGACTTGCAACCCTACCCTCTGATTTATGAGCCAAACTTCTCTAGCAGTACACAGCTCTGTGACTGAAAACTTGGATTAGTGTGTAAGCTACATGGATCAGACCGCGGGGGGTGGGATGTGGCTGTTGTGTCTGTAGGCCACCCAGCCTGAATACGTCCAGTGAGCAGCGGAGTCCAGAAAGGGGTCAGGAGATGCCAGTTGGTTGGGTTTTATTGTGTTTTTCAGTGCTGCCCCTTTAACTAGCAGGAATACCCATAATCCACCCAGCCCCCTCACATCTGAGAAGCCTCCTACAGCATCCCACTCTCACTAAAAGTGCAGCCTCAGGTCTGGATCAGATCTCTCCCCAAGACACCCCCCACCTTTAAACCATGTTGCAGGTGTAGGAAGGCTGTCTGGGTGCTTCTCACAGAGGGGGGTTTACATGCTTCCACAAGGAGCACAGACCATGATGGCTCAGTTGTTGGTACTGACTTGGTATTTTTCCACATTCCTTCCCCTGATTCCGAATTAGAGGGAAGAGGATCATGGGAATTATAGAAGCGGAATATGAAACCAGGTTCTGCTCTTTGGAGCTGTTCACGCGTAAGTGTCATAATGCGGGACGGGGGTGGGGGGTCAGGGATGCTTCCCCTAGCCTTACTTTTCACAGGTTAAAAGCCTATCACTGTCATCATGTTACGGATGCTTAACTGCTATATTTTCTTGGATTGTGATTCAAGGTCAGTCTATATTTTTATTAGCTTTCCTGGAAAGCAGCAGACTTACATTTTGGAAACGGAACAACTTATTATCCCTGTGCTCATCTGCCAAGTGTGCCGACCAATTATTGAACAAGCCCCTTAATCACTGTGGGCACCATCCAATCACTGTACATGCCCCCCATCACTGTAGGTACTGTACAATCACTGAACATGCCCCTCAATCATCATACATGCTCTCCAATCACTCATTGTACACACTCCCTATCACTGGAGATACTATTAAATCACTGTATTTGCCCCCTATCACTGAAAGTACTGTCCAATCACAGCACATGCCCCCCATCACTGTAGTTACTGTCCAGTCTCTATACATGCCCCTATCATTATATGTACTGTCTAATCACTGTATATGCCCTCCAATCACTGGACATGCCCTGTCACTCTATTTACTTTCCAGTAACTGTAACTGTACCATATTATTGAAGGTAATGTTCAGTCACTCTACGTGCCTCCTCCAATTGCTGTAAGTACTGTCCAATCACTGTACATGCCCTCCATCACTGTAGTTACTGTTCAGTCACTATACATACCCCCCAATCACTGTAGGTTTTGTCCAGTTACTGTACATACCCCGTATCACTGTAGTCTCGGTCCAGTCACTGTACTTGCCCCCCCAATCACTGTGGGTACTATTCAATAACTATACATGCTGCCCCTTATTACTGTAGGTACTGTCCAATCACTGCACATGTACCTCTATCACTGTATTTACTGTCCAATCACTGTACCTGCCCCAATTACTGTAGGTACTGTCCAATGCTTGTACATGACCCCCAATCACTTTTGGTACTGTCCAATCACAGTACATGCCCCCCCTAATCACTGTAGGTACTGTCTAATCACTATACATGCCCGTGTATCACTATAGGTACGGTCCAATCACTGTTCTTGCCCCCCAATCTCTATACATGCCCTCCAGTCACTGTAGGTACTGTCCAGTCACTGTAAGTGCCCCCCCCCCCAATTGCTGTAGGTACTGTCCAATCACTGTACATGCCCCACCAATCACTGTAGCTGCCCCCCATCACTGTAAGTACTGACCAGTCACTGTTTATGCCCGCCTATCACAGTAGGTACTGTCCAATCACTGTACATTCCTCCCTAGTACTGGGGGGAATGTGCAGTGATAGTACTGTATCTACTATCTTGTCAATGTACGTGCCCCCATCATTGTAGGTACTGTCCAGTCACTGAACATGGCCCACAAGCACTGTACATGCCCCCCATCACTGCAGGTACTGTTCAGTCATTTTACAGGCCCCATCCAGTCACTGTAGGTATTATACAATCACTGTACATGCCCCCTCCAATCACTGTAAGTACTGTACAATCATTGTACATGCTACCCAGTCACCGAAGTTACTGTGCAATCACTGTATATGCCCCCTCCAATCACTGTGGTCAGTCTACATGCCCCAAATCACTATAGGTATTGTGCAGTCACTGTACATGGCCCCTCCAATCAATGTACGTATTGCACAATCTCTGAACATGCCCCCTAATCATTGTAGTTACTGTTTAAGCATTGCATGTTCCCCTAATCGCTACAGGTACTGTCCAATCACTGTAGATACCTACCGTGGTGGTGGATGTAATTCAGGCCTACCCATTCAGCCTTTGCAGCGAGCAAAGTTGTTAAAACATGTCTCACAGATATATATGTGCATGGTTAGATCGGCTGGAGGAAATATACTGTTTATAGGGAAATACATTTTTCTTTCTCTTTGTTCATTTGACCTTAGTAATGCTACGGGTCATTTACAAACAGATAAAAAATGTATAGTTGAGTCTGTAGTGTGATTTTGTCTTCAAGTGAGTTGTCATGGGCCTGACCCACCTGACTTTTTGCCAGCTCACCCACGCTATGACTCCTCTTTTGGTACATGCCCCCCCCCACCCCACCCAATCACTGTACATGCCCTCCAACACTGTAGGTACTGTCTAATCATTGTACATGCCCTCCATCACTGTAGGTACTGTCCAATCACTGTACATGCCCTCCATCACTGTAGGTACTGTCTAATCATTGTACATGATCTCCTACTCAGTAGGTACTGTCTAATCATTGTACATGCCCTCCATCACTGTAGGTACTGTCTAATCATTGTACATGCCCTCCATCACTGTAGGTACTGTCCAATCACTGTACATGCCCTCCATCACTGTAGGTACTGTCCAATCACTGTACAGTTATTTTAGGTGTTGCCAAAACTCTGCTTCTGACGCTGAAATATAATCACAGGGGTTTCATGAGAATTATAACGTATAAATAACCAGTAAAGTTACTCGCTTGTTTAATTTAAGCTGATTTTTGTGGTAAATGATATCTGCTTTCAATGAATTAGAACAATGAGCTTCTTTTATTGTGCAACATTGTTAACTAACATCTGGAAGAAAGTTCTGGGGGGGGGGGTGGGCATCAAACTGATTTTAAAGTGACCGGAGCTGGTGGCAAATGTTTTTACCAGAGTCATCTGCGGAGCACTAATTTTCAGGGAATTTTAATATAATAAACTAACTTAACTTGCTCTAACTGGTTCTGTCCAGAGATGAAAGACGGGCACGGGTGGAGGGCAGGGATAGAGTGTGTGGGGAGAGAGTGGGGAGAGAGACAAGGAGGACGAGTGAAAGCTGACGGAGAGCAGGTGAGTTGAGATGCAGGATTGAGTGCCACCATACCGAGATCAGCTAGAAGAGGCTCCTAGGAAGATACAGGGCAGATAATGGGCGCTGACTTCCCGATGTGCCCCTGAACCCCCCTAGCGTCAATCTTCTAAGAGGATCAGCATCCCCTGCTCTGACCATCAATGTCTCTCTAGCCAGGTCGTAGGGGTCAGATCCAGAATGTCAGGAGTCAGGTGAAAGTCAAGCCAATTCTAGTGTGAAGCAACATTCAGAAAGGAGCCTCTGGAAGCCGTCTGCGCCAACTTCAGGGCCCAAAGTGTTGCTCTCTTCTTCTGCCCCCTGCTGGAAGCCTAAGGTGCTCCGCTGCCATTTCTTAACATTGCTGCCCTTTGTCTTGTTTGTTCTCTTGTTACAATGCCTGGACGGAAGCAGAACTGGACTTTTGCTGGGAAGCATGGGTGTCTTCTGATAGAGGGTCATTCTGCTAGGGTGTGTCAGAGACCCCGAAGAAGATGACCCCACAGGTGACCCCAACAGCTGTGTTCACGGGCCAATCAGGGATCAATTTGATGTCTGGGTGGGGCTTCTGTATGTCACTTATTTGTATATGAATCAATTAAAAATGTAATTGTAAAGTTTAATGTGTTAGGAAAAGTTTTAAAATTTTGTGTCATGAAGGGTTGGCGCCCCGTCCTGGGTTGTTCCCTGCCTTGCAGCGTAGCTTCTGGTATAGTCTCCAGACCTCCTGCAACCCTGAATAGGACAAGCGGTTATTGAAAATGGATGGATGGATTCTGTGGCATTTTAGTGTTACCTGGATTAACTAGACTTTCTATGCTGCCACCTATAAACCATATATTTGTGTTTTATTTTAAAAGTAGGGTTTTTTTTTTCGGAGGCTACAGGCTCTCAACCACAGAATCTTGGGCAAAGGTTTAGACACCAAATTTATATATGAAAAGTAAATTTCCAAAACTCAGTCAGTCCACGGGAAAATATCTGTGTGCTTAATGAGTTTTGAAAATTGAATGAAAGTTCTTCATTGGATTACATGAGGACTAAGTGAGTTTTGGTTCCCAAAACTGTAACAAATGATGAGGAAGCCTGACATTAGGTTATTGGTGGTTTCGTCTGAACAGCAATGAAAAACAGACTGAGCAAGTTTTGGCACTTCAGCAGCATATGTAGCTCAAAAGTAGAGCATTGCACTAGCCATGCAAAAGTCATAGGTTCACATCCCATGGTGCCCACATAAACTGTAATTGCTGTAGTCCCTTTGCATAAGAAGCATCAGAAAAATCTAAAATTTGCTCTTCATACAGCAGTTTTGTGCTTGGATTACTTAGCAGTTCCTAACAGTCGCCTGACCTCATCACATTCTCAGTTTTGCATTTCGGTGTTAGTACATTGTTGTTTTACATGAGCAGAATCTCTTACAGCGTTTGCTGATCTTCAGAGAGGTAGAGAGAAGTGAGAGCATATCATTAGTGCAGGGCTAACATGGCAAGCTTCTCTTCCTCCATCATCGTGGAGCCCGGGTCCCATACAAGGGGGAGCCTTTCCCCCCTGGTGCCGCGGGGCTTGTTCCGTGACGTACCGTGACAGGATTTCATCAGTGCCACATGTCTGACACAGATGTTACACAGCGGAGATGCTCAAGCGGGAGGTCGTCGGGTCCCAGAGAAGGAGAGGCGGAAACTGGAAGGGAAGGTTCAGATAAACCTAAACATCTCCGGGGGAAAAAAGCCAGGATTTCGATTGGCGTCCTCTGCGCGAGTTTATCCACTGGAATGTTGGTATTTTTAACTTTTCACCGCTGTTATTCTACGGGGATTTCTGCTTCGTCTAAACTGTCAGCGTCTGAGAGAATGTTTGCAATGTGGGCCAAAAAAAAGTATCGCCTCCGGCTTCGCTGAGCCGGGTTCAGCTAGTCGACTTGAGAGAAAATGGGAGATGTAGTGCGAAAACTATGGTTTGATGAGGAGGGAGGAAAACTAAATAAAGAACGCTGGCTCCTCCAAGCTGGCGGTCCTTGGGCTTGTGAATCAGGGTCAGAGGAATGTTTATGCCTGATTCTCGAAGCGAGAGCCATGATTAGACTAAAATCTCTGCCTGTCATCCAATAAACAGCTGATCACTGTATCAGTGAGGGCGGATCCCGTCCAAGGTGGCGTAGCAGGCCTGTCTTAGCTTTGGGTCACTGGAGCTCACTGACCCTGGAGGTATTAGACAGGTATTTGGAATCCTTGCCTCTCTTGGTTAGTTGCATTCTCAGTTCCTCTCATGACACACCTGTGCTGAGGTTGTCTCATTTAGTGACTGGGTGACCATCTCCCAGTCAAGCCATGAGGTCTTCCCCAAGCTTCTGGTTCTCATCCACAGGGTTATTATGCTCCTGAACCAACCCCCCCCCCCCCATCCAGCCCCACCCCTTTTGCTTCTCCCATATACACCATCTTCTCCCCAGTGTTGGGGAAGTCACTCACAAAAGTAATCTATTAGATAGAAGTGCAAAGTTCTGGTCCAGAAAGTTCAAATCCAGACCAAGGTTTTGTTACAACCAACCAGTTGAGTACTCTGTTACTGTGACTCTTTATACTCAACTGTTTGGTTGAAACAAATCCTGTGTCGGGATTTGAACTTTCTGGACCAGCACTTTCCCCCTCTGTCTTTGATGGATTACTTTTGTAAGTAACTTCCCTAACATGGCTTGTCCCCAGACAGTCACAGTCGATCAGGACATTAACTGGTTCTGATTAATGTGCAATACCACCAGACACAATCTGTTGTTCCTGGCGGGGAGTGTGTGTGTGTACATAAATGTTTGTATATGTGTGTGTGTGTGTGTGTGTGGGTCATGTATATATTACATAGTGGGGACCCAATTTCCCCATTATGTGACAAATACCTGTTATTTCAACATTGTGTTTTTATTTTTTGGTCTTTACAAGGGGAAACTCTATTTTATAAAAATCCTGCATTCAAAAAACTAAAAGTGCCCAAAGTCTTATATTTTATTTTGTTACTTATGGTTAAGGTTATGGCTGGGTAGTGGTTATAGTCGTCACATAAGTCGTCATAGCTGGGATTAGGGTTCTGCCCATAGAAATGAATGGATGGTCCCTAGAAAGGTATGGATACAAACGTGTGTGTGTGAGGATTTTTTGTGTCACAGATGCCGAACGGGTACCCTTTTTTGCTGTAGGTAATGATATGCCATGGGGATACTTCACAAATCCCGAATGACTACCGGAGTACCATACTCTCCCGTGGACGGGCAAACGTGCACCACGGCACGGATGCGGATCGGACCAGGCCAGGCGAGCACTGGGGTTGCCTCCTGCCTGTAATTATGCTGCTGCATGCAGCGGCCAGTGGGCCCCGCATTTGCCCACGTCTTTAATTTCCGCAGGGAGGGCGGGGGGGCAAATCCGTGGCAGGGGAAGCCACCGCAGTGGGGCCTGGCGTGGTGTGGAATGTCAGGCACTCAGCATGCATGGTGAGGACACTCCAGGAAGGGGGGGGGGGGGGGGGGGGCACAGGGCCGGTGGCCGAGTGGCCTGGAATGCGCACGGTGGAGCAGTGCATGTTGTACCCGGAGGAATGCACCCCCGCCTCGATGATGGGGGATGCAAATAACACCCCTTCCTTTCTCCCTGTGCTCATCAGCGTAATTACCCACATGCCCCCTCGAGCGAAAGAAAAAAGCCGGACAGCATGACCCTGCCGACCTCAGCGGCTTGGCGACCGGCAGAGGTTCTGCCGCGGAGCGTTTGGCAAATCGCTTGACACAATAAAGGAAAACATGCCAGCTGCACTCCTGGGACGGCCGGCAGGAGGCTCTAATTATACCCGGGGTCCCAAATAAAAGTGTTTTACAGCCAACTGAATGTCCTGGATTCCATTGCGGTCCTGACGGGGGTCCTGAGATGGGCCTCCTTTTCCGTCCCAGAGATGCTTGGCCCAGTCGTCGCTGTTATTCATCATGCATCACTGCTCACTATTCCCCGCCCCCCCCCAGCGACAACACTTGACTGTCAATTATACTGAGAAACAGCAGTGGGGGTGGGGGGGCAGGTTTCTTGCACCCCCACCCGAGGGCATTCTAACAAGAGCCAAAATACACCGGGTCCCCCAAGACCACCCGGGACATGATGCCCACCCCCATCTTTGAAAAGAAAGCTAAGACATGCCACAGAGATCCCACGTGGGGGGCGGCGGGGCTCACAGTGGACCGCTGGCCCAGTGGGCACAGCGTCATAGCCTAGTCCTGAGGCGGTGATGAGTGCAGGAGCCGCTGGACCATCGGAGCCGGCTCACAGTTGGCTGATCTGGACCTCCCTCGGCACAAGATGCAGTCTTGGTTACGCACTGAGACAGGTGACACATCACAAAACATCTTGGATCTTAAAATTTCCACACATCCAAACTTATAACCCAGTGCTGTCATTTCAGCCTCACGAGGAGCCTATTTGTGCAGCTTTATTCTTACCCAGGCTGTAATCCCATACACAGGCCACCCTAAAACAGACTGTAACTTCATACGCGCTGTAACAGACTGTAATCTCATCTGCTGCGGGATGCGATTCAGTACAAACTGAAGTGCTGCTTCCTGCTGGACTTCCTTGTGCTTCAGGATGGTGCCTTTATGTGAAAGGATTCTGTTTGCTCAAGCTGTTAATGAGGTTTTGCAAGGTGCTTGTTAGTCTGTCAGTGAACCATTCACTACCTACTCACAGAACAGGTCTATCTCTGAGAAAAGGCATTTTTAACGATAAATTCCTCAACCATCGTAATTCCTGCATCAGTATTGAAGGGGATGGCATTGATGCTTAGACTGTATGTTCTATAACCTTCACTAGTCTTTCTTCGATAGTGAATGAGAACCCTCAACACTAGTGAACGAGAAGGCTTTTAGGCTTAAATGGTCGGTTCCTCAGTAATCATTGCCTGATTATTTTATCTCATATTTCCACGGGGACAGCATTGCTCGAGGTACCCTGCGTTGTTTTCGCATGGAACCCTTCTCGTGCGTGTCCAGGAATGGATGCTCTCCAAAACGTGGTATTGTCATCAAATCCACTATTTTGAGCTTAAGTGACTTCTAAAATCATCCTTCGACTGCTCTTTTCCTCAAACCAAATGGATCCAGCAGAACTGGCCCTAATTATGTCGATGGATGGCGAAGCGGCCCACAAAGTATATAGCCGATGGGAGCGGCGGGGCCAGGGAATGGCAAGCTGTGTAATTTCACCCAATGCCAAAGCGAAAGTGCAAATGGGCAGAGAAGATCCTACAGACGCCAACTACCTTAAAGACATTGTGAAGAGGCTGTTATTTTTAACTTAAAAAGTCATTCTTGGTGTCTCGGAGAGCGAAATCTGTGTGCCAAACATCCCGAAATGTCGTTTTGATTGTCTCTCCCCCCCCCCCTCCCCCTTTGGGTCAGAGGTCAAGGTAATAACAGCTAAATAAAGGCGTGAGCCCTCCAGATGAATGTCGATTGTTGCCCGTCTTTTGAAAGCACTGAGCTGCGCTGTTGCTTAAGCAGCCTTTTGTAATGGAGTGTTTCGTGCTGGCCGCCGTCGGATCCCTGGGAGGCTAAAAAAAAAGGAACGAGAGCAAAAGCCCCTGGGGTAAATGCTGCGGGTGACGTCTGCCCCGACTGCTCCTTTTAAAGATGTAGATTAGGGATGGCATTCTTCCAGGCGGGTACGTTTTATTTATTCGTTTTTTTTTTTTTTTTTTTGGGGTGGGGAGGGTGCTTGTGATATAGCTGCCTCGTGGGTGAACTCAATCTGCTGAGTCACCGGCATTTCCCGTGTGCCGGTAGGTGGTGTGATCCGCCCCTGGCCCTGCTTGTCATGGGACTCTCCCGGGAGTTTCGGGACAATCCTGACTAGCTTTTGCCGAAATTACACCACGCTGGAGATCCCCTGCCTTTTGTCTTGTATCCGAACGATGTTTCTTTGAGATCTGAAACCCCCCCCACCCCCCACTTTTGACTGAAAGGAATCATTACCGGTAAAGTTTGGTTTTCTTATACTCTCTTCTGCTGACTGTCTGGTCTGTACTGAGGTTGTTGCCCTGGATTCATGGTTGATTTTCTGTCACCACTCCTTACACTATCAGTGGGTCACTACAGTCTACAATATGGATATGCTGCCTCTTAATCTAATAACCACAGATAATATGCTGTATTCATTGATTGCAATGCTGTAGGCAAAACCGGGTGTGACATTTTAGCTTCATACTCAATCTCCACATAAGGTCTGCATTGTCTTCGT